ATTAAGTACCATTAATTAAATAAGAAAATTGCCTAAATGTACTATGTTATTCTGAAGCCCTGCCCAGGTTCAAGGATTGTCAAAGTGGTGCAGCCTGGTAAATGCATCAGACTTAAACTTAATTCCATAAAGTTCATTTCAGTTCTCAAAAAATATGTGAATAACTATTAATTATTCCAACTATTTTCATTTGTGAATACCATAGTATCATTAGTAATTATAAATCAATGCAACCTTATTGAAAATTCAGTGTTCTCTTGCAAGGATCATGTGCCTATACGAAGCTGTGGCTGAAAAGGACCACAGCCAAGAACTGGTTATTCTGCAATCATTTTATCCATGGAAACCCTGATGGCTTGGGTAGTAGTTGTTTTATTGCTTTAGAAAAGATAGAGTGGAGGTGGATCACATAGGCACTGGGAAATAGTAAGTGTATATGAATGAACAGTGTTAAATGAGATGGCATGATTGGACAAGACTAATACCATCTGGTGGACTTGTGGGCCACACTGGGGTCAGTGATAAGAATCTGAAGCCCATTATGCTTCTCCATAGCTCAATTCCACTTTGTCCACATGGTGTAAATTGGGCTGGGCGCTGGGAACACGGGTATTTCTGCCTGTTGCTGTCTGTCTCCTAGGACTGACAGTTCTTGGCCACAGCCCCATATTTCCACTGGGGGTTTAAGGTAAAGGAATGTTGGATTCTGTCTCATAGGTGGGATGTATGGGTAGAAGGAGCTGTGGTCCATGGGGTTTTCAGACTCTCTCTCCACATGGTCACCCATTTACCATTAAGTTTTCTAAATGCATCACACAGAAAATCTCTTATCTAGGAGTTCTTCCCTGCAGCATATGTCTTTCTAGGGCTTGAGATATATTTCTACAATTTTAGTTTTCACTCTGGGCTCCAAAGTGCCTAAATATCTTGTTCAGTTCACTTTACTATCTATTCGTTCTTATGATGCATTTTCCAGGTCAAGAGAATTTTAGAAGGAATGGATACATTTATAGACACCGATAATGTGATACAGACTCAGGCTAGTGATGTCATTTAGTTGGTAGAGTGTTTGCCTACCATGCATGAAGTCTTGGGTTTGAGTCCCAGTACACCATACAGTGGCATTCTTCACAGAAACTACAAAAACAATCCTAAAATTCATATGGAAGTATAAAAGCAAATGAAAAACCAAATAGTCACAGAAATATTTAGCAGAAAGAGCAATGCTGGAATTGTTACAATGCCTGATAACAAATTGTATTGCAGACCCATACTAACAAAACCAGCATCACACTGCACAAACCCTGACATGTATGTAAGCCAATACAATAAGATAGAAGACTCAGAAGTAAACCATTCAATTTTTTTTTCGAGGTGGTTTCCCTCTGTAGATTAGGCTGTCCTCAAACTCCCAGAGATCTGCCTGACTCTCCCTCCTGATGCTGGGATTAAAGGCATGTACTACCAGGGCCCAGTTAAACCACTTACTTTTTGACAAAGCTATCAGAAGCATATACTGGAAAAACAAAACAAAACACGGCATCTTTAACAGCTACTATGAGTAAAAGTATATTTCACCTATAGAATAGCACATGAAATAGTCCTTTGAATGAACAATTGTGATTTAGAGTGAAGAGTCAACCTACAGAATGGGAAAAATCCTTGCTAGTGACATATCAGACAGAGTAGTGTAGTAGCTGTAGTATTAGTAGTATTATGATTTGTTTTACTCTTTTGTGGGGCCTGCCACCCAGCTCCCAAATACATCACATGGAGGCTTATTCTTAGTTAGAAATGTTTGGCCTTAGCTTGGCTTGTTTTTTTTGTTTGTTTGTTTTGTTTTTTTCTTTTTCTTTTTTGCCTTTGGATTTTTCCCATTCTTTTAGTTCTGTAGACCTTACATTTACTCCGTGAATTGCTGTGTAGCTAGAGGGCAGACCCCTGATGTCCTCCTCCTTCTCTGGCTACTACTACTCCTCTTCTCCCAGATTTCTCCTTCTATTTATTCTCTCTGCCTGCAACCCCACCTATCTTTTCCCATGCCTTGCTATTGACCTGTAGATCTTTAGTAGACCATCAGGTGTTCTAGACAGGCAAAGTTAACACAGCTTCACAGAGTTTAAAAAATGCAACATAAACAAAAGTAACACATCCAATATAATATTTCCAACAGGGTACTAATACTAAATACATAAGAAAGTAATTCAGAAATTAAGCGGGCCAAAACTAAACCATTCAATCAATAAATTGTCCAATAGACAGTTTCAAGAGGAGGTAATGCAAATGGCCGAGGAATAACTTGAAAGAAAAAAAAAAAGCTCAGCAAGTTTAACTATCAGGGAAATGCAGATTAAAAACTACTTTAAGATTCCCTCTCACCCCAGCCAGTGTGATTGAGTAAATGAATGGCAGCAGGTGTTCCCAAAGATGTGAGGGAAAGAAGAACTCTTATTCACTGCTGGTTGCTATGTAGCCACTATGGAATTCAATATAGAAGTTCTTCAAAATACTGAAAATGGGAGAATCAAATGACCTAGTTATACCATTCTCCTATGAACTGGAAGGATTTTTAAGACAGAATCCTGGAGCAATACTTCCTCCCATGTTTGTAGCTGCACTATTATTGACTGGTAAGTGAAGCCAGCATAGGATCCCATTAATTGACACTTGGACAAAGGAAATGTGGTTCATATACACAATGGACAGCATATGTATAATATGAAAGGAGAAAGGGGGACAAACTGGGGAAAAGGTGGGGGGAAGACAAGCTGGGAAGGAAGAGGTGTTATTCGAGAGAGCTTCTAAACATGTCAGTATGTATGTTTGCCCTTGTAGTAAAAAACCCCTCCCACTGTGATAGAGAATAGTGAGTGGCATAAGATATGGATGCATAATGGGAGTTTGTGTACTTTCTGCTTAACTTTGCTGTGTACCTGAAGCTGCTCAGTCTTAGAGTAAGAAAAATAAACAATTTATATTTTTTTTATTAAAGAGGACTGCTAGGGAGGAATAGGAATTCACAGAAAGAATAATGACCTGTAGATGAGGATGCCATGATGAAACCTATTGTGAGCTACAGAGATGAGAATGTGGGGTAGGGCTAGAACACCTGGCCTGGTTCAAATCATGTGTGTTCTGTCTCCCTTAATACAGCTGTCTCTGAGTTCGTCTCTTATTTGCTGTTGTTGTGTTACAACACCATGACCACGGCAGCTTACAGAAGAAAGAGTTTATGTGAAGCTTACAGTCCCAAAAGGTCATAGTCCATGACCATCCTGGTAGGGAGCATGGCAGCAGGCAAGCAGGTAGGCAGGCAGGAATGGTGCTGGAGCATTAACTTAGGGCTAACATCTTGAGACACAACCATGAGGCAGAGAAAGAGAAGGAGGAGACATTGGAAATGGCATGAGTCTTTTCAAACCCTTAGTAACACACCACCTGGAACAAGGCCACACCTCCTAAGCCTTCCCAAACAGTTCCACCAACTAGCGATCAGGTATTCAGAAAGAAGAACCTTTAGGGGCCATTCTAATTCAAACCTCCACAGTTTGTCATGCTGAACACATCTATTTAGTAATTTCTAGTCGGGTGTACCTAAACTGCACAGTATCTTCATCAATGTGAAACAGAGGTATTTCCAAAATGCATGATGGAGGTGGATTCCATAAAGGTCAACACTATACCTTATAGTCCCTCAATTATACACTCTGTTTTTATAACTTCAATATGGGGAGTCGTGGATGACATGCTAGATAATCTGAGATGGTGAGATCTCGTTGTTGATTCAGAACAACCCTTGGATCAGGTTCCCCCCACAATCAGCTCCAGATTTATGTGTCTGTGTCTAAATGTTCTTCAGCTTAATCTTGGGTTCTCTTTATAGTGGGAGATAGGTGACTTGCTAGTCATAAAGAACATAGGGACTTCTGTACAGAGCCCCCTTTGAGCCTTTCCATATCTCCCCAACAAATACATGAATATTTATCTGTTGCTGGAGTTTCTTGTCCCACCAGTTCCCACCACCCTTCAGCGCTAAATAAGCACACAGAGACATATATTAATTTATAAAACTGTTGGCCAATGCCTAGGTATTCTTACTGGCTAACTCTGTCTTAATTATTAACCCGTTTCTATAAATCTATGTATTTCCATGTGGTCTTGGCTTACTGGAGAATGCATACACCTGTTACTTCTTTGGCAGCTACATGGCATCTTCTCCAGGCCTCTCTCTGCCTACCGTTCTCAGAATTCTTTTCATCTCCTAGTCCCGCCTATCCTCCTGCCTCTATTGGCCAAACAATAAGAGAAACATATATACAGAAAGACATCCTCCATCATTTATCTAAACAGGGAGGGATGATAAGGGGGAGAAGAAAAATGAATTAAAAAACCTTTAAAATGATATATAATGTATTTTGTCTATTTAAAAAGCATTGTACTTTTATTTTTCAAATGTATAAATTTGTTAAAAATCTTCCAGTTCCTTTTTATCTATGAATTCTTCCCTTATTGTTGCCCCCTTGGATACTCAAACAAGTGTCCCTTGGTGGGTTGTCATTACCTCAGTACTGAAGTGGGAAGTGGGTACATATTCAGAGACTCAGCTCTTCCCCAGGAGCTACTGCATCAGAATCTGCATTTCCATTTCATGTGTAACAGTTGAGAAGTACCACTCTAACTCAGGGTAACTTCCTCCCATGAGAAATATGAACACCAGCTTAGTATGTGATATGCATATTGTATTTGTGTTCTATTTTGTGTATCATGAAATATAATAGCCATATGGGTTTGTTAAGGCATGTGCCATTCTCTTCCCTTGAAGATGGATATTGTATAAGATATTATGTAAAAGTATCTCATTCACTGTGCTACTACTCTTTCATCTTGTGTAAAATTAAAAAGTGTGTTTCCAACCATATATTATTTATGTATTGGTACGAAGCTCCCAATTATACTACTAAATTCAGTTAACATATACTGTTCATCTATTTTCATTTCAGGGGCTACTCTCCTTCAGGGATGTGGCCATTGATTTCTCTGCAGAGGAGTGTGAATGCCTGGACCTTGCTCAGTGGAATCTCTACAGGGATGTGATGTTGGAGAATTACAGCCACCTTGTGTTCCTGGGTAAGGATCACTTCCATAGTGAATTTTTAATTATCTGTAAACATGTAACTTCTTCCATTTGTAGACTATCTCATGGGAACTTGTGCTTTCCAACAATGAGTTTCCAATTTTGCCTTATAACAATTGTTTCACAATTTTACACATGCACGTAATGTAATGTACATTGACTAAACCCACCCTTTTCCTCTGACCCTTTCCACTGACCCCTGTTGATGGACCTTGTCTGGTGGAGGCCCCGTGCAAGTGATCTTCACTGTTGTGGATTTATGTGTACAATAGCCATGTATTGTCTAGAAGACATTCTCAACAGTCCTCTTTCCAGTTCCCCCAACTCTTAGATTTTTTTCCAGCTGCTCTTCCATAACACTTACCAAACCTTAGAAGGATTTTTGTAGATGCCCATTTAGTGTTGAAAACTAAGTAGTCAGCTATTCATAGTAGTTGGCCAGTTATCTCTATATCAGCTACTACCAACTGCAAGCCACAGCTGCTCTGATTAACACGTAGAACAGCACAAATATATGATTATAAATGCAAATATTTAGAAGTTTGACATCATGTACATGTCATAAACCAATAGCTATAAGGCCTAGGACCTCCCCAGCCACAGCTTTTAGTGAGTTTTACAATATCAGTCATGAGTGATTGTTCACTTGTAATAGTCATGCCACATTTAAGCCAGTGGACACATCTTGCTCAGTAGGTTGGTATTATGTAGGCAGATTTTTTTTTTGTTGGGACCTTCAGCTCTACAATAATGACAGGGAGACTTATTAATTCTGAAAGCTTGGCTAATAGCTTAGACTTGTTTCTAACCAGCTCTTATAACTTAAATTAATCCATTTCTATTAATTTACTTTCTGCCTCTTGGCTTTATGACCTCATCTCCATATTGCCCACTGTGCTCGCTCTGTGTCTCCTGAAGTCTCCATATTTCTTCTTCCCAGAGTGCGCTCTGTTCCCAGAAGTCCAGCCTATCCTCTTCCTGCCTCGATGGTGGCCATTCAGCTATGTATTAAACCAGTCACAGAGACTCATCTTCACACAGTGTAAAGCAATATTTCACAACAGTATTATAGTTTTCAGGGTTCACAGATGTTGACTTTTCTATCCCCAAAGCCTTCACATCACCTCCCATCCTGTGAAAGCCAACCCAGCCGGAAGAAAGCTTCCAGCTCCCTTCAAACTTGATGTATCTTTGTCCTACAACTCGAGTGTGTGATGTCTTGGGTAATTGAATCTTATGATCTAGTCTTTTGGGCAACCAAGAGGAATGGAGCAAGCTTGCATTGTGCACCCTGAGCAAAAATTCATAAGAGGTATTCTACCTGTGTGGTGGAACTTAAAAAAAAAAAAAAAAAAAAAAAAAAAAAAAAAAACTATGTCTTTTGGGAACAGTAGTGTCCATCCACGCAGGGTACATTCCTTTAAACCTTTAAATTATACTTTAGTTTACAAAATAATAGGATTCTGTATGGCTTTTTAGATCCTTTATTTTAGCTAATCCTCTCCCCCAGGTATTGGACTTGGACACCACTCACATCCTTCTCCACTTACATCTCTCCACTCCAGTAATGCCCGACTCTACCTTCATATCATTTATGTCATATCACTACCTTCTGCTCAGGAATTCCTTCTTTAGTGCTCCTTCTCTACCTTCCAGTCTGCTACAGGCCCTCCAAAGGAAACAGAGAAATCCGAGATTTAAAGCCGAGATCCACACATGAGAGGGAATGTTTGACATTTGTCTTCCTGGCTCTCATTTACCTCACCCGTCCATTTACCTGCAAATTGCACAGCTTCATGTCTCTCTATACCTGAGTAAAATTCTATTGTGTCTATAGAACACAGATATGTAAGCCAACTAGATTTCCTAGCTGTTGTGAATGGAGCAGCAGTGACCACGGAGATACAAGTATCTCTGTGTTGAGATGGAATCTTTCCAGTGTATGTCCAAGATTGATGTGGCTGGGTCATATGGTAGTTACTAAGTTTTACTTTGAAATTTTTGAGAAATCCTTCGCCTTGACTTCCATAATGGCTGAACCAGTTAACATTGGTATGTTCCTTCTGTACATACTTGCCAAAATTTGTCATCATTTATTTTCTTAATGATGGCCTTTTCAATTCAGGTGAGATGGAATCTCAAAGTAGTTTTAATCTTCATTTTCCTGATGACTAAGGATAACGAACACTTGTAAAAATGTCAGCTGTGGGTTTATCTTTTTTGAGTTCTCTGTTTGGCTTCAGAGCCCATTATGTGATTGGGTTGTTTGTTTTCTTAACATTTACTCTTTTGAGGCGTGGAAGTCACGATATTTCCTGCCACATGTATCGCCTACTCTGTAGGCTGCCTTTTCATTCAAGTAACAGTTCCTTTTGCTTTTCAGAAGGTTTTTTTTTTTTTTTCCTTATTGCCTAAGATGCAGTTCTGAACTGCTGACCTTCTTCTGTGACCAGAGTCCTGTTCAGAAAGACCATATTTATTCCTTTTTTGAAGTGCACTATGTTTTCCTCAGGCACTCCCAGAGTCTCTGCTGTATCATTGAGATCCTTGGTCCATTTTGAAGTTGATTTTATTTCGTTTCCTTCTTGTACACATAGACAGCCAGTATTTCCTGTACCATTGTGGAGAGCCTTCTTTTCAATGTGAATTTTTGGAATGTTTATACAGTTGTGCTGTAGTTTGGTGAAGTTATATATGGTCTGTTTCAACCCTTGCATCTGTTTCTGTACCAAGCATAGTCTTGTTATTACTATGGTTCCATATTAGGACTTGAATTCAGGTATGGTTACATTTCCTACTGCATTCTTTTGGTCAATATAAATTTTAAGAGTTTGAAAATTTTTCTGTGCAGAATGGGCTCAGAATTTTTGTTGGTATTACATGGAATATGTAGATTGCTTTTAGTAAAGTGGTCATTTTCACAATATTAAGTCTGTAAATCCATAAACACAGGGAGTTTTTCCATCTTCCAGTATTTTCTTCAATTTCTTTTTGTCTTTTCCCTTCAGTTTCTGTTCTTTAGTAATTTAAACTTTTAATTATAGAGGTCTTTTGTTTCCTGGGTTAGGTTTGTTCCAACATATCCTCTTTTCTTTTTCTTTGGATGGGGGATAGGTTTGGCGAATTAGAATGTCTTTGTTTTTGATATAGAGGCAGACACTGATTTTTGTTGATAATTGTGTCCTGCCATTTTGCTGAAAGTGTTTTTCAGATCTGCTTGTGTTTTGGTGGAGTCCTTGGGGTCTATTATATAGAAAGTCAAATTATCACAAGATCTCCTGAGCAAATTGGGAGCATGGGGATGGGAGAGGGAGCTAGGAGAATGAGAAAGGGAGAAGAGGAGGGGTGGGGAGGACATAAGGTAGCAGGAAGGTTGTATTGGGGGGAGAATAGAGGAGAGCAAAATAAGAGATACCATAATAGAGGGAGCCATTGTAGGGCTAAAGAGAAATCAGGCACTAGGGAAATGTCCAGAGATCTGCAAGTATGACACCAACTATCTAAGCAACAGTGGAGAGGCTCCCTTAAAGGCCCGCCCCTGATAATGAGATTGATGACTAACTTATATGCCATCCTAGAGCCTTCAACTAGCAGCAGATGGAAGTAGAAGCAGATACCCACAGTTAAACACTGAACTGAACTGGAAACCAGTTGCAGAGAAGGAGGAGTGATGAGCAAAGGGGTCAAGACCAGGCTGGTGAAACCCACGGAAACATCTGACTGAATAAGTGGGTGCCCCCAGACTGATCACTGGGAAACCTGCATGGAACTGATCCAGACACCATGAATGTGGGTGTCAGTGAGGAGGCCTCAGAAATCTATGGGGCCTCTGGTAGTAGATCAGTACTTATCCCTATCATTTTAATGTACTTTGTGAGCCCATTACACATAGAGGGATACTCCCTGAGCCTAGACACACAGGGGAGGGCCTAGGCCCTATCTTAAAGGATATGACAGTCTCTGAAGACCTCCCTCCATGGAAGACCTCACTCTCCTTGGAGAGCAGAAATGGTGTGGGATAGGTAGGGTGTCAGTTGGGGGCAGGGGAGGAGGGAAGGGAGAGGGAACTGGTATTGACATGTAAAACAATCTTGTTTCTAATTTAAATTTTAAAAATGGAGAAAAAAATAAAAGAAAGAAAGTCAAATTATCTGCAAATAGAGGTACTTCTTGGAATAGTTATATAATTTCTGTCTTTGAGTCTGCTTATATAGTAAATTACATTTTTTTTATTTATGTGTGTTGAACTATCCCTGCATATGAGGGTTGAAGTCCAGATGATGATAATCATCATTGTGATGTCTTTTTGCAAGTATTGAGAAATTTTGCATCTATGTTCATCAGAGATAGTGGGCTATCATTGTCTCTTTCTTCCTCCCTCCCTTCCTTCCTTCCTTCCTTCCTTCCTTCCTTCCTTCCTTCCTTCCTTTTTGTTGTGCCTTTATCTGGTTTTAATATCAGGATCATATGTACTAACAAAATTAAGGCAATGTAATGTAAATAATTTAAACATACCTACAACGGACAATGAAATTGAAGTAATAATTAAAAAAAAAAACAACAAAAAGCTTCCAGCTTCTAAAAGCCCATGTCCAGATGGATTCATTTCATATTTCTAGCAAATCTTTTCAGAAGAAATAAGAGTAATTTTGCTCAACTTATTCCATCAACTGGAGAAGGAAAGCCTCCAAACTCCTTTCACTAAGATTTCTGCTGCTAAGGAAAACTTAGGGGAAGTTGTAGTTGTAGCTGATGAAGTTAATTACAGTTCTTGTATTTTCAACCTCATTGCTTTGGTAGTGTGACTCCTTCCTTGTCCTTGGAATATTATAAATTGAGACACATGAAGTATGAAGCACACATCTTAACATAAATTATTTTACCCAGCATCTTTAATTTCTTTTTCTTGAGGTAAAGTTCCAAGTACTGAATATATCTATCAGGAAACGTTTAAAGAGATTATTTTCTGCCATCTTTTTATACTTCCTCTTTTAGTGACCTATAAATGTCAGTCATAGAGAACAGCATACAGCCATCACATTTGCCTTTCCTTCTAACAGGTCTTGCTTTTTCCAAGCCATACCTGGTCACATTTCTTGAGCAAAGAAAGGAGCCCTGGAATATTAAGGGACCAGGACCAGTTGCTGCATATGCAGGTATGTGGGAATGAATAAATCAGAGCACACTTGGGAGAGGTCCAGCGATGCCACAGAAAGGCATGCATCAAAAGCTGGATGGATGAATTGGAGGCTTTTTCAGGGAAAATGGTGATGTAGAATGCTTCACTTATCATCTCTCAATTTATGACATTTTCTGACAGATGTTTATCATGCTTTTATTTCCTCAAATCTGTCCCCCCACTATAGTGATGTCTGCATGCATTTACAGTGACAGAAGTCTGTCTTTCTGCAGGTGAGGGTCTGGATCATTACAGACTTGTCATTGCTTTCTATGTCTCAGAAACTTATGCACAGTTCCAGTGACTTCTGTGTCTAGCCTTTATAGCAAAGTATCACCGCAAATAAATCCCTCTGATTACATTTGCGTGCTCAGTTGTCCCATCAGACTTCTTTATAAATTATTATAGTGTATTTCTGTGAATTTTCTGCCACACATTGATTGTCTATCATTTATGATGCATTGTTTTTGTTGATAGCAAAAAATTATACACGGGTAGATGCTGCAGACTATTTGTACACTGTATGAAAATGTATTGCTGTGATTGGAGTAATAGAAATCTGAATGGCCAATGGCTAGGCAGGAGGTATAGGCTGAACTTCTTCAGACAGAGAGGACTCTGGGAAGAAAAGGTAGAGATGCCAGGAGATACAGAGCAAGCAGGATGTGCAGGAGGAGAGGCAACAGCCACAAGCCACATGGCAGAATACAGATGAATGTAAATAGGTTAATTTAAGTTATAAGAACTAATTAGAAACAAACCTATGCATAGGCTGAGCTTTCATAATTAATAAGTCTCTGTGTCATTATTTGGGAGATGACAGGATGAAAGGTGCGGTACAGAAAAGGGGTAAATGTTGTGGGATGATTTGGTTGCATTCTGATGCCTCCAAGACTGCCAATAAAGTTTGCTTTGAATCAGAGGGCAGAGTCTAGCTGACCAAATTAGCCATAGAGATTTAGGAGGACTGAGGACAGATAGAGAGACACAGGAACTAGTAGTGCAGGTCTGAGAGAGCATCTTGGCCCTTTTTGGATGGAGGAACAAGAGAAAGAAGAGGTCATTGGTTGCTCCTCCGCTACCTCTCTGATCAATCAGGTGCTTACCCTGATATCTGACTCGCACGTTTTAACTGATAAAAAATAGCTAGATAAATGCTTCAGGTAGGTGAGTATTAGTAGTTGCTTACCAATATTCTTTCAGAATATTTCTGAATTTGTAATTGTATTTTCTGTGTTTCACTTTTGTATAGGCTCCTTCATATCTGTTGATAATGTTCTTAGATGTAACTTAACATTATGATTGGATGACAGTTTTTAGTAGTGGCTTTTTAGGTCAATGTATGATAATAAAATGTCTATAAATCATATAACTAGTTCCAAATGAAATTGAGGCTCTTTCTTCATGTATTAAACACTAGTTCTGTATTTTTATGCTATGTGTATTTTTTCTTCACTGGTTACTTATAGTTGTTTTATCCTGCTAAATGAATATTTCTAGAAGTTATAATTTCATAAGCAATTGATAAATATGTTGCTTCTACTGAAACTTCTGTATTTAAAGGTAAGCTTGAACATCTTAAAATCATTCAATAGCATTTATTTATTTTAACTGAGATTAAAAAACATATAACATGAAATTTACTGTCTTAAATATCTGGGGTATAGTACAATACATTCAAATTGTTATGCCACTAATCTTTCAGAAATAGCTTAGCTTTCAAAACAATAAACATAGGAAAATAATTTCATATTTTCATCCATTGCATTTAGTCACCATTCATATAGGTGTTCTATGAGGTTTTCTATTTTAGAATTTCCATGTATTTCTAATCAGATTATACCTGTCTTGTGTGATTGGCATATTTTATTTTGCATACTGCCCTTAAGAGTTTTCCTTATCATATTGCTTACTTTAAATGTGGTGTGTGTGTGTGTGTGTGTGTGTGTGTGTGTGTGTTCTGAAGGCTTCTGGTTCATATGAAGGACAGAAGGCAACTTGTTAGGATTAGATTCACTTTTCACTTTTTCCACCATGTAGGTCCCTGGGAATCAGGTTCCTTTATCCACAGAGTGACTTCACTGGCTTGAGAGTACTTTTAAATTTTTGAATAATCTTCCATTGTTTTTCAGTGGAACTTTGTAATGTTTCACTTACTGTATTTTTTTTATTAATGTTGCAGTGAATACAGTTATGGAATCATGTTTATCTTCCCATTAATATGAGAATAAATTGCTTTTTAGAATGGTATCTATGGATGTAAGGATTCATATGAAAGTTAAGCCTTATAATTTTAGCTATGTGGTTAATCTTTTACTGATATTTTCACCTTTACTCAACAGGAATAAAACCTTATGAATTTAAGGAATGCAGCAAGACCTTTCCTTGGAATTCACTTCTTATTCAACACCATAAAAGTCATCCCGGCGAAAAACTTTACAAATGTGGTGAATGTGGTAAGGCTTTTAATGTTCGCTCAACACTTTATAAACACCATAGAATTCATACTGGAGAGAAACCCTACAAATGTAAAGAATGTGGCAAAGCTTTCACATGTTCTTCAAGCCTTAACCAACACCACAGAATTCATACCGGGGAGAAACCCTATAAATGTGAATGTGGCAAAGCCTTTAATAACTCTTCAGCTCTCACTCAGCACCAGAGAATCCATACTGGAGAAAGACCATACAAGTGCGAAGAATGTGGCAAAGCCTTTAATAACTGCTCAGCCCGTACACGTCACCAAAGAATTCATACTGGAGAAAGACCCTACAGATGTACAGCTTGTGGCAAGGCCTTCAACTTTCCCACATCACTATCTCAACACCAGAGAATCCATACCGGAGAGAAACCCTACAAATGTGAGGAATGTGGGAAAGCCTTTAACTGTTCTTCACATCTTAAACAACACAGAATTATTCATACCGGAAAGAAACCCTACAAATGTAAAGAATGTGGCAAAGCTTTTAACTGTTCTTCCAGCCTTAACCAACACCGTAGAATTCACACTGGTGAGAAACGCTATATATGTGAGGAATGTGGCAAAGCCTTTAATAATTGCTCAGCTCTTACTCAACACCAAAGAATCCACAGCGGAGAGAAACCCAACAAGTGTGAAGAATGTGGCAAGGCCTTTTATAACTGCTCAGCCCTTTCTCGTCACCAAAAGATCCATACTGGAGAAAAACCCTACAAATGTACAGATTGTGGCAAGGCTTTTATTTTTCGCTCATCACTTTCTCAGCACCAGAGAATTCACACTGGAGAGAAACCCTACAAATGCAAAGAATGTGGCAAAGCCTTTAACTGTTCTTCACACCTTAACCAACATGGAAGAATTCACAGTGGAGAGAAACCTTATAAATGTGAAGAGTGTGGCCAGACATTCATCTGTTCTTCATACCTACATAAGCATCAGAAGATTCACACTATGGAGAAACTCTATGAATGCAAAGAATGTGGCAAAGCCTTTAGCTGTTCTTCATATCTTAAGTATCACCAGAGATTTCATACTGGGGCAAAATCTTACACATGCAAAGAATGTGACAAAACCTTTAGGTCATCTTCATACCTTAGGAATCATCAGAGATTTCATACTGGAGAGAAACCATACACATGCAAAGAATGTGGCAAAGCGTTTGTTAATTCCTCGAGCCTTCTTGTACACCAAAGAATTCACACTGGAGAAAAACCATACAAATGCAAAGAATGTGGCAAGGCCTTTAGGTGTTCTTCTTATTTTAAATATCATCAGAGACTTCATACTGGAGAGAAACCCTACACATGCAAAGACTGTGGCAAAGCCTTTGCTAAATCTTCATGTCTTATTCTGCACCAAAGAATTCACACTGGTGAAAAACCCTACAAATGTGCAGAGTGTGGCCAGGCCTTTATCTGTTCTTCATACCTGAGGAAGCACCAGAGAATCCATACTGGTGAGAAACCGTATACCTGTGAAGAGTGTGGAAAAACTTTTAGCATTTACTCAACCTTCACTCAACACCAGAGAATTCATACTGGAGAAAAACCTTATAAATGCAAGGAATGTGATAAAGCATTTAATAATCATTCAGCCCTAATTAAACATCAAAGAATTCATACTGGAGAAAAACCCTACACATGCAAAGAATGTAGTAAAGCCTTTAATAATAGCTCAAGCCTTATTCGCCATCAGCGAATTCATACTGGAATGGAAACCCTAGAAGTTCAAGGATTGTGGCAAGGCCTTTAGTAATAGTTCAACTCTTAGCTCCAAAAACTCTGTTAGTGAGAAAGTAAAATGGAAAAAAGGTGACTAATAAGTGTTTTATACATATACAGTGTAAAAATTCACACATGAAAGAAACTCTCCAAGTTCAAATAGTGTCGCAAGTCTGTTAGCTTTTCTTCATATAGCAGAGGATTTGTATTATAAAAATATAATGTTATCAGGGTTTTTAATGAATTCTCACTCCTCATCAGTGAATCCATGCTTCATAAAAATCTTAGCATTTATCAACTTTGGAAGGAACTCTGTCCACTATGTGTGAGCAAAGTAGTTATGCTTGAAGAAATTGTGTAAACATAAAGAGTGTAGCAGAGCTCATACCTCAGACTTAATGGATATGAGAATTACTATAGGTGGTCAATCCTATGAATATATAGAATAATGTAAGTATAAACTAAATATTTCTTATAAATTATGGGACATTATTTGATGTGATAGAAATTATTGCCAACATCAGAATTACGCACTTAACTCATCTCAGTAAGGATATGAATTTGTGAATGAAACCACATTTACTATGTAGCCTCATGTTTGAAAACAGAAGCTAACGCAACTTTAAACTGTGTTAAAAGAACAAGACTGGTTCCTGACTGATTTTAGTCTAGTTTTTCCTACAGAGAACATATAGTAGGTATAAAATAGAGGTTTACTTCCTTAAATAAACAAATTTGAATGATTTGTAATGTAGTGTCTCTGTTTTTATTGTACAACATATTCTACTATAGACAAAATATTCCACCTTTGTTCTGCTAAGATAATCAGTTCTAGTCAGCTGGGGCTGAAGAATCAGCTATGATTTAGAGACCACGGTCCTCACTGAAGTGAAATATTCTGGATAATGTTTCCTCAGAGTCAACACATAGAAGCCATGTTCCATAGGTGGCCAGAGTTGAATCTCATGCTGGCAACTGAATGTGGTTCTGTTCAGGCTTCACAGGTGGTTCTAGTTTTGAAGGCACAAAGGGATCGTGGAGAGCAGCAGAAGTTCTGACACTGGGTGAGGCCAGGACAGGGCATTGGTGAAGGTGCAGCCTCAGTTGTACTGGAAACCCCAGGATTCACAGGGTCATAAAAACAGAGGCTTGGCACTATTTGGCAGTGTCTGGGTCCCTGAAGAGTGCCAAAAGAAGCTATAAGTAAAGGTTCAGCCAGTTGCAGTATAGACCACAGCATTTTTAGATACCACTACCAGAGAAAGATCACCAAGCAACTGTTGAAGAGGAGCCACCCAGAACCTATAAGGCAAGTGGTATTTGCTATGTGTGGTAGAGCCAGAAAGTGGAACTGCCCAGGCTATTTGGGTCCTAGAAGACTGTTAGTCCCAGGCCTCTGACATAAAGCTATTTTACACAGTTGGGTTTGGGGTTTGCTTCGATTTGATTGTAGCCAGGTCTTGATTCTTCAGTTATTGGTTTTTACAGGAGCTCTCAGTTGAGAGACTTTGAATAACTTATAGTGACTTTGGAATGTTAGGCCGACTTCAGTTATTTTAGAGAGACTTTGAACTTTGAAAGAGACTTTGCATATTTTTAAGAGACTGAACTTTGAGACTGAGCTTTTAAAGCCTTTTCTCCCCAGCTGGAGTTAGATGTAATGCTAGACAGACAGATTGGAGTTTAAAGGAAGAACAAACACAAGATGCTTCCGAAGCTCTCATACTTCCTAAAGTTTATGTGATTGGGATAGTGGGATATTTCAGACAATGTAATGTTATCAAAATCTGAGTGGGCTTTGTAGGTCAAAGGGTGACATGTAGATAGATATATAGCACATATATATTACACATATATTATAATACATATTTTGCATATGGTAAAATTTGATAAATAGATGAATATTTAGGCGTTTATTTTCTTATAGTAGTCATACATGCATCTGTTATCTTCCAAAGGTTATGCACCCTTGACATCCCTACATCTTCTTTTTGGCTCCGTGTGTCTACCTACCAACACAGTCCAGACTTCTAGAAGGATTTGTCAAACTATGTTCCCTCTGACTTCTGCTCACCCAACTCTTACATGTTTATGTTCCTTCTATGGCACAACAGTAACTTCCAAAGGTCACCTAGACATATAAATATAATGGGTCCATTTCTTTCACCACAGAGAACAAATCTCACTTCATGGATGACGCCATTGGCATTTTGATAGGCATTGCATCTTGGCTTTTCTGTACCATGGGCATTTCAACACTGTATATACTTCCAGTTTATAAACATGGAATGCATTATGATTCCTTAATATTCTCTTTGATTTCTTTCATCAACATTTAATTTTTTCATCTGACCATTATCATTTTCTTTCTTGGCTTAATTTATTCCTAATATTTTTCTTGATGCTGTTGTAAATGAAATTATTTCTTTGATTTCTTCTTCACACAGATTGCTATTTTCTTTCTTTCTTTTTTTTTTTAGATTTATTTATTATGTTTACAGTGTTCTGTCTGCATGTGTCCCTGCAGGCCAGAAGAGGGCATCAGATCTCATTACGGATAGTTGTGAGCCATCATGTGGCTGCTGGGAATTGAACTCAGGACCTCTGGAAGAGCAGTCAGCGCTCTTAACCTCTGAGCCATCTCTCCAGCCTCCCCCACCCAGATTGCTATTTCTATAAAGGAGTACAACTGACTTTTATGCATTTAAATAGTTATCTCTAATTGTGTGTATGTGGATGTATCTGTGTGTGGCATTTGCATGTGAATGCAGGTACTTGCAGAGTTTAGAGACACTGGATTCCCATGGAGATGGAGTTATTGGTGGTTGTGAGTGACCTCAGGTGAGTTCTGAAAACCAAACTTGGGTCCTCTGCAAAATCATCATTCCTTCTTTACCTCTGGGCCTGCTTGCCCTACCCTGATTCTTACAAACTTAAATGCTGATTTTTATGTCTTAAAATTTCACTGAATTAAAAATATTTTGGTGGGTAAATTGAGTCTTTGGGATAATTTCATCTGGAAATGTGAATAACTTTCCCTCTCCTGAAGTTTGTGCCTGCTCAGTGTCTCCCTCCTTCCCACCCTCCCTTCCTCTTTTCTTTCCTTCCTTCTTCTCTATATTTGGAAACTAGATAGTACAGTACTTCAGACTGTGTTCAATAAAAAGAGAGTGGCCATTCTCACCTTGGGCTCTTTGAAGAAAGGACAATGTCTCTTCATTATTGATTGTAATGTTAGCTGCCATTTTGAATATGTAAATGGCCATAAAATACTGGAAATATTTCTTCTCTATATGTTTTTGTGATAGCATTCATCAAGAAAGCATGTTCAACTTTTCCTGTGCTCCTTTTCTTGCACTTGCTTTGTAGTTCTTTGGTTTTCACCTTAATTCTACTAACGTCAAGTAACTGAGTTACTGAAGTTACCTTTCAGGTCAGAGAATCCCCCCATCCTGCTGTGTAATATTCTTGAATTTGTCTACTAGCATAGTGCTTTATTAAAGATGAATCTGCCTATGTTCACGAGGAGGGAACTATATTTAAATTTGCGCCAATCATTTTCTTTCATTTAAAAAAGAAAGGTCCAAGTACAGTTGGAGATCTATTAAATTGATAAATCACATATAGTGAGGATGCTGTGGTTGTCTAGGGGATTGCCAAGTTCATTGCTTGGAATGGGCAAAGAATTGAACATCTGGTAAAGAAAGAAGATCCCCTTGTAGACACAGCAAAAGTAACAGTGTTGTTCCTGGGCATAGGAGGAGCCCAATAAACAGACTCTGGCTGGACCTTGGGTGTTTCCCTTTATCCTGTTGGCCCTGTTTCAATATCTACTCTCATGTCTTCCTACCGCCTTCCTCAAAATGTCTTCTGAGAACAAGAAGCTACCATATCAGGGAATTGGCTTTCATTTTCTTTTACTACCTACGTTCTGTTAACCCTTCTTCAGCTATATTTTTGTCAACATATTTAACTTTGGTTGACATGTTTCAACTTAACCAAATTGATTTTTTTAAAAAAATCAAGAAGCCAACAATGGAATCACACCATAAAGAGAAAGATATAATTTAGTCACTACAAGACGATTCAGATTTATGTTCCCCAGGGTTTTTCTCACTCAGATTATTTCCGGTGCCTCCCTAGGATCTAAGAATTTGTATTGGGTTTTTAATCACAGGGGCATGAGTTCCAAAGAGGAGAGTGAAGATGTGACAAAGGGAAGATGCTAAGAACATCTAAAAGCCAAGACTCTGCTGCCACTGAAGGTCAGGTACCCACTGCATTCCAGAAACCCATTCTACTTAAGCAGGAATGGATGCTCCACCCCATACTTCCCAACTCCCCTTCCCCACCACCACCAAACCCCCCACACTTAAGGTCTTGTTTAGGTTTTCATGTCTTAATCAGCAGTCTGCATTGTGTCACTGCTAATTAACACAACAATGCCTAATTACTGGCACTCAGTATAAAAGCTTTTAATATTAAGGGAAGTTTGAGTTCACAAGTACAGAAAATTTTGTTAAATATTTATTGAATATTTACATGGTGATAATGACAGAAATCTCATCTAGGGGCATTCATAACTATGACCCTTTGTTGCTTTATTAAGCACAATCTGTCTGCAATTCAAGGAAATTACATCTTTAGCTGCCTTCCACTATAGGGCATTATTAGCTACACTGTGGAGGGATATAATCGAGGAGCTTTATTCTGCTACACTTGAGATACAAAATATCATATCCAAGTAGAATACAACTTCATCTTAATTACAACTCTTGTCACAAAGCACCCTTCTGAGGTTCCTATTGCTTTGGACTGGAGATTGTAACCAAACTAAAGATCTTCCCTCTTCCTAAAGCCATCTCTCCCGAACATCTCGAATCTGCATTTACAGGCCAAAACGACTGTTAATACTAACAAGAGAGCTACAGGTGGGAAGCATTTACTGTCAGCACCTCCATCTAGCTGACCAGTAAGGTGGAGTGGCTTCTTGGTTTTTGGTTCTTATCCCCCTCCTTTGACCTGTCTGTCCTAGCCCCACAGGACCTCACGTGTGCACCAGAGAACACAATGCTGCACTGACATACGTTAATGCATGCACACACAGATGCATGCACACACAGATACACGCACCACCACCTCTTCAGAAAAGGAAACACATGTGAGATGACCCCAGCACTCATTTGTCTTTGCTCTCTGGCTGTAGACATGGATTGACCATGATTTCAAGCTCCGCTTGCCACGCCTTCCCTGCCACCATGGATTATGGGCTCACACTGGGAGGGCATTTTGCCTTGTAGGCGGCTGCAAGCTGCCATGTGGGTTCTGGGAACTAAACTCAAGTTCTCTGAAAGAGCAGCTAGTGCTCCTAACCATGGAGCCATCTATCACTCTAGCCATGTGTAATGAGACTGAGCACACCGGGCAGACCATGTTGAACTTCGAGGAAGACATCTCCAGGGCGTGGTAGGAGCTGAGCGTTTGCTTCCTGGGAAGTTGCTGCCGTGTATCATACAAGGGGGTCTGAAGATTCAGCCACAGAATGTGTGATCACAATCTCCCCATCACTCTCCAACCCATTCATGTTCTCTGTCCTAATCCTCATTTCTGTGAGTCCACATGTAAGTGACATCCATCATGTAGTATTTTATCTTTTAAAAGAGGGGGAGAGGGCATCCTTTTCATACCTTAGGTTGAAAAGTTCATTCATGAGCTTTATGACTTTTCCCGAAGAAATGCAAAAAGACATC